CGAGTTGGACCTCACCACCTCCCCCGTTCTTGGACGGTGCACTCCCTCGTCCACCGTTCCCACAGTGGGAGCTGTTCCAAAGATGCAGCCTTGAGAGTAAGGTGCTGCTGACCCCGTCTGTATTGTGTATGTGACCGAACCCCATTAAGGACTCTCTGAAAACCTTTAAGATTCTGGAGAGTGGGTGGGAAGACCTGCTCATCTTTCACCGTCCACGACAAGCCTCGCATGTAAGTCCCCCAGCTTATGAAACCTGCCACTTAGGGATCTGGAGTGGCCTGCCTCTTACTTCCCTTTCCCCTTGCCCTCTGTCTGCAGAGGGGGCCAGTTTCGGATTTAACCAGGGAACGCCCAAGGCTGCAAACCAACACAAGGCAATGTTTAGGTATTGTATATCATCACCTCAATTAAATTTCATAACAACCCTGGGAGGTAGGCCTATCTCCATATCAGAAATAAAGAAACTGAAATCCAGGAAAGTGAGCAAATTGCTCCAGGTCACATAGCCAGAAAAGAGCAGATTGGATTAAACCTGGGTCTTACTCCAAAGACCATGCTCTTACACCTGAATAAAGATTGTCACAATGATACCGCACCTCACACCTGTCAGGACAGCTATTATCAAAAAAAAAAAAAAAAAAAAGACAAAAACGGAAACAAAATCAAAACCAAAAGAAATAGTGTTGGTGAGGATGGGAAGAAACTGCAAACCTTGCACGCTGTGGACAGGAATGCAAAATGGTGGAAACATTGGAATGTGGGAAACAATGGAAAACAATATGGAGGTTCCTCAAAAATTAAAAATAGAGCTACCATATGATGCAGCCATCTCACCTCTGAATATGTATCCAAAAGAATTGAGATTGGGATCTCAGAGATATTAGCACTTCCAGGTTCACTGAAATACTACTCATGATAGCCAATATGTACAAATGAGCTACATGTCCATTAACAGATGAATGGAGAAAGAACATGTAATACTGATCAACCTCTAAAAAGAGGGACTATAGATTTTTCAGTCAATAGGCTAAGACCACCAGCCAAGCCCTTACATTCCAGAGCAGCTGCTGGGTCCTTGGGCCCCACCTCTCAGCCTTGCCTGCCCCCCCCAACCTGGTCCCCAGGGGCCAGTCCGCCGCCCAGTGCAAACGGGCAGTATTTCCTGTGGCCATGTCCCCTTGGTCCGTCAACAGGTGAGTGTGTGATGGCTGCAGGGAGGTGGTGAGAGCCGCAGAAGCCTTGTGCAGAGAGTCCATCCAGCAACAGCACCAAGAAGAAGCCAGCATCTCTCTGCTGACAGGCTAAGGAAGGGGAGTCCTGGGACAATGTCAGAGCATCACAGTGGTATGCGCTTTCAAGGAGACCCCTATTCAGAATCAGCCAATGAATATTCAGTGCCTGGTGCTGGGCTAATTTCATTCACACACTTTAAACCTGAGCACCACCCTGTGACAGGGGCCAATCCCAACCTCCAGGCCCTGCAAAATCGTAAAGACCTCAGGTGGTCCAGATGGGAGCTCCAAGTCCAGCACTTTCTCCACAACAGCAGGATCCTTTCAGGCTCAGGAAGCAGAGAAGGGATCGGCCTCACTGGGGTCAAAGCATGGTCTCCCACCCCATCCCCTCCTCCCCTTAGTCCATTTTAAGACTTCTGCCAGCGATTCTTTTCACTAAAATCCTATATGCTGACCGTGCCTATTTGTTGTGGTGCTGATGGTGGTGATAACATTAAAACCATGCACAGCAAAGTCTCAGTGAGTCTGAGAGTATTCTTTCACTCACCCAGTCAGTCAGTGCTTATCGGGTAACCACCACGGACCCCACAGCCTGCCGGAAACAGAACACCAAAGAACACCATGGCCCTTATTCCCAAGCAGCTCTCGGTTCAATGGCAGAGACGAGCAAGCAGATCAATCTAATACAATGTGCAAAATCCTACAGCTAGGGACATTGCAGAGGAGGGCAATTCTAGCTCAACCTGGGGAGGGGTGGCGAGGTCAGAGAAAAGCTTCCCAGAGGAAACCACACCAGAGCTGGGCCAAGGTGAAAGTGAGTAGCCAGGAAAAAATAGGGATGAGCATTTAAGGCGAAGGGAGCAGGGTTAGGTAGGGTGGGGGTCTTTGGTCTCCACGATTGCTGTATTCTACCTTCAGGACAGGATTGGTGTGGGGGGGGCGGATCGCATCTCATGGGTCCGATTCATTAAAAAAATAAAATAAAAGCATGCACTAGACTGTGAACCCACGGTCAGCCCAATTTCCTGGCCCCCTTATGCCATTAGCTACAGCCCAGAACAGGATAATGGATGCTTCGAAGCACGAATTACAGTGCCTTGCAAAATCCTGAATCATCAATGAAAAGTTCAATTTGTTCACTTGACTGCACTTCCTGCTAAGCTGAAGGAGGGACGCACAGTGCATCCACTGACTGGGTATGCTTCAGTATTAGGAGCTCACACCCAACCCAACATGGTTTCCTGTATAATTCCCAATGAATCAGAACCTGCAATCCCACCACCGCCTTCGCCCACTCCCCATTTCCCGAACACCATGCTTCCCTGGGTTCCGACTAGCCCCTGTTTTGTTTCCAAACCCCACTTCTAGCCATTAACAGCTGTGAGCTAGCAAGCGAAGGCAGAGGTGTTCTTACGAGCCCTGTGTGATCAATGGGGCAAGGGGCACCCAGTGATGCCCAGTGAAACACTCAGAGCCCTGCAACTGTTGGCAGAGGGTCAGAACTGGGATCCAGCCCAGAAACACAGTTGACCCACTGCATTCAGATGTGAGCAGCCAGGACAGCAGCTGTGTGATCTTGGACAAGGGGTTTCATTGAAGTTTTCTTACTCTCGTCTCTAATATGTAGACAGTAATTCCCACCTCATAAAATCCTGGAGAGAGTTCAATGAAATAAATGACTGTCAGGTCTGAAAGCATCTGGCTAGGTCTTCGCCTCTTCCTTATGCCATGCTCTCACATTTTCCTGGTCCTCTCTGGGAAACAAGGCTACAGGTTTGGGCATTCTCAAACCTGCTTCTGCGTGAAGGAATAATTCGAAAGAAAGATAAAATCGAGGCTCCGCCGTCAACAACAGGCCTCAGCTATCCCTCCCCCAGGGGTAAGGCAGGCAGGGCAGGGGTGCTGGCCGGGAATGGTGGGAGGCGAAGAAAGAGGGACCCCACAAACTGCAGTGAAACCCCAGGTTTGGAAGTCAGCCAATAAATAGTGAACGCCATTTACATGCAAAAGGACATGTTGAGTCTCTGTATGTATGGGTGCACTCAGATCCGAGCCTTTTTTTACTATCACATTCCAGTTTCAATTTAACTAATCAATCAATTTGACTGAACCCCCTTCAGTTCATTTGAACTAAACACAGTGCTAGAAACAGAGATGAATATATTTTTCATCCCTTTTTACCACCTGAAGAAAGCAACTGGAAGAATAACCCTTGCTAGGCCTTCTTTCCAGCCACGAACACCTGCAAATTCAGGCAGAAGTGGATGCCGGAGGCTGGACCATCAGGAATCCATGTTCCTGGCTGGATGCCCCCCTCCCTCCTGCCAGTTCCTCAGCTTCAGGGAGGCACCCTCTCCAGGCTTCTGTAACCTCTCAGAAGAAACCTGTTGCCAAGTCTGAGGTCCTGGGCAGACGCCCCCACCTGGTGGCCAAACCTGGAAAAGCCATTGCAACCAAAGATGATTGGCAGGTAGCAACTCCAAGGATCCCTGAACTCCCTGGGACCACAACAGTCGTGGGTCAGCTGGAGGAGGACACAGAGGAATATCCACTACTAAAGGCACAGGAAGGGCCAAAGTTATGGCCAATTCCCCGCCCAAACCCTGATAACGCAGAGCTTCCCAAGAAGCAGCCATCAGAATGACTAAGCCACAGACAGGAGGCAAGGGGCAACTGGAAATGCCCTGCCGGCCCTGGGGTGTAGCCTGACAGCTCTGATTTTGTCTCTTGGGTGAGAAGTCACCACTACCATCCTCCCCCCCAACTCCCCCAAGTGCAAGAAGACTTCCTGTCCCGAGTGTCAGTGCAGAAGGGAATTCCATCTTCCTTGCCTGGCAACACATGTTCATCCTGATTAGCAAGGAGATGCTTTCTAGGGGAAGGGTGCCTGGGGTCAAACCTCCAGCCCAGGCCCCATCACATGGCCGGCAACCTTGTCCAGCCAAAGTGAGAGAAGGGGACAGCAGTTGATGTTGAGGGGATATCAGGACCAAATCATGGAGGTACCTCAGCCAAAATAAGCCCCGGACCTGATCTCCTGGCACTGTTAAGCCCCAGCTCCTCTGTCTAGGCTGGGGCCTGAGATATTCTCATTCTCTTATATTCTCTCTCCTGCTCATTAACTTCCATAAAAATAATCCAAAGATGCACATTTTGACCAGTCCAAGCCCCCAACTAGGGCAACACCAGGTTCTATACCAGGATGGAGCCCTAAGAAGGGTAGCATAAGCAAGCAACTGATACCCGCGCTCATGCGCGCGCTCGTGCACACACGCACACACACACACACACATTCACACCACTATGGGCAGTGTACCACTCCCATCCCTAACTCCAGGATGCATCATCTAAACTCAGTAGCGATCCCAGGAGAAGGGACCCACCCCAAGCAGAAACACAGAGTTTATGGGAGGAATCCGCTTTATCCTGTTCATCCTCCACGTTAATTGGAAAAACCACATCATTCTTTTAAGCTTCAATACCAACATCCGGAGAAGGTGCCATAAATGCGCACCCGCGCGCGCACAAACACGCCAATCCAATCTCCAAATTAGCTGGGGAACCACGCTTGGATCTTTGAAGCCCTGGTGTCCAACACCCAGAGAGTGGCTCACAGACATACGGACACACACAGCGGAGAAACACGGACAGAGTGGTCTCCTCCTCAGCCGACGGGCGCCCCTGGGCTTTAAGGCCCCACAGCCGTCCTGGCTCCAGCCCCCACCCCGAGCCCCAACCTGCGCCGCCGAGCGGCTGGGTACTCACACGAGCGCGTGGTAGAGCAGCGCCCAGCCCCGCGGTCTCTCGAGGGCGTCGTAGATCAAAGTTTGGATGCGCCGGTACTTGGCGTTGTTCCTCTTGACAGGGCGGCTCAGGGGGGTCTTGGCCAGGAGGCCGATGCCCTGCGGGGTCCTCCGCAGCCCCTCGTCGCGGCCGCCGCCCTCCAGCAGCAGAGTCCCGTCTTTGTCAGCTCCGGCCCCGAGCGCCAAGGTGACTTGCTCCACGTCGCCCGGCGCCAGCCCCACTTTCCGCTCCTCGTCGCCGGCCACCGCCGCGTCCCCCCCGGCCGGGTTAGCGGCCCCGCCGCCGCCGCCGCCCCCGTCGCCGCCGCTGCCAGCCGCCCCCGCCGCCCTGCGCGCCTTGAGCCCCATCTGCCTCGCCCCCGCCGGCCGCTTCGCCTTCTCCGCTGCTGCTCCGGGAAGAAGGGGCGCTCGGGGTGCGTGGATGAGGCGGCGGCGGCGGCTGCAAGCCCGGGAACTCCAATGCCATGATCCGCGCGCCGCTCCCCACCCCCCCCAAAAGCAAGCAAAGGCGGGCCCCCCGGGGGGCAGGGGAGGCCGGGCAGCGGGAAGGGGTCACATCTCGCGCGGGTCAGCCGCGGGACCCCGAGGGGCGCGGGCCGGGGACTGCGGGGAGCGGGCGAGGGCGCGCGAGGCTGGCGCGGAGGCGCTAGGGCGCGCGGCGGCGGGAGCCTGGCACCGGCGCTCCGGGGCGGCGGCGGCGGCGGCGGCACCCGGGCCGGCGAGCCCGAGACAGCATCGCAGTTTATTTACAAGCCCGGTGCCAACCGCCCGCCCGCCCGCCAGCCACACGCGCCGCCGCCGCCTCCGCCCTCCTCCGCGCTCCCCCCCACCCCGCGCCCCTCCCCGCCCGCTCCAGCCTCAGCCCCGCAGCAGCCGCCGCGAGCCAGCGCGCCGCGGGCCGAGCGCACGCCGCCGCCCCCCTCCCTCGCCGGGGTGGGGCCCCATTGTCCCGCCCCGTCGAGGCGGGAGGCCCCCGCGGCGCCCCGCCCCCCCTGCCGCCCCCCACCCCCGCGCGCCCCGCGGGCCGTCTGCTCCGAGGCCGCCAAGCGGGGCTGCCCTCGCCCCCGTGGGCGTTAGGGCTTTCCCCCGGCTGGGCGCGGGGGCAAGGGGGGGAGGGGGGGGGGGGACGGGGGGGGGGGGGGGGGGGCGGGTTCGTCTGTTGACCTTCCATTGGCCTGACCGCTGCAGCTTTATGTTCTCTGGTCGCCTCCCAACCCTGCTTCTTGGCTTTGGAAGTAAAATCCAAGTTGCTGGGTTGGCCAAGGCCCAGCGCGCCGTGAGCCCACACACTCTGGGTGGCTCCCTGTTTGCTTTCTGGTTCATGGTGGATAGTGCAGCCCTCACCTCCCTTGGCCCTTGGCTCTTGGCCCTTGGCCCTTGCGGGCTCAGGCGAACAGAGGTTTGAAGGAATAGAAAGAACTCACAGAATTGGCTTGGCTCTTAACCTGGGCTCTAGCAAGTCATTCCCTCTCTTGCCTGAGCCTCTGTTCATGCATTCAATTACTAAAGCCCAAGTGAGTGAGCTTCTCCTGAGAGGGGCAGTGTTCTCCGACCTGAGCATACCAGATCCCTGCGCTCATAAAGCTTGCATTCTGGAAAGATGGAAGACAATAATGGAAAACAAACATCAATAGTGTAATTGCCAAGATTGGTGGATGCTTTGAGGAAACAAAATGGTTAGAAAATGTGCTAGAAGTGGGGAATTTCTTTACATTGGCTGGTCCTGGAAGGCCTCTTTGTGGAGGTGACATTTTGGGGTGAGACCTAAGTGACAAGCTGGGGCAACTATGTAAATGTCAGGAAGAGCCTTCCAGGCAGCAGAACAGTAAGCGCAAAGGTGAAGCATGACTCGAGCGCACTGAGTCAGGGGAAAGCAGAAGAAGGGGAGGCCACTGTTAGGTAGGGACTAGATCACATTAAATCACTGGCAGAGGGCGATGAGGGTCCCCTGCACTTTGAACCTCTCAGCTCCCTCCCACACGGCCACCACCATTACAGAGATCCTGCTGCCCCCTGGTACCCGGAGCCTCCTTCACTTCCCACTCTCTCCAGGCTTGTCTTGGGCAGAGGGGAGGGTCTATGAGCAAGGCCAAGTCAAGCATCCATCCCTAGTGTGTAAGAGCCACCAGAAGGCCTGCAAAGGAATGCCAGCTCTGGATTGCCTAAAGGAGTTGGCCAAGGAGAATGAGAAGGGGAGGAGATGGGGCGAGAGGGGAGGTGGGATGGGGGAGGAGAAAGATTTGGAGAGAAAGCAGTGGGAGGTGAGAGGGGGTGGGGAGGAGAGAAGGAAGGAAGTTTGAGTGTGGGAATAGGGAGGGAGGAGGGGCGTTCGTATGAATGAATGCCAGAGGGGAGGACCTCAGAAATCTCAACCAATAAGGGTGGTTTTGAGAAAGGAGTTAAACTGTACCCAGGCTGAAATCATTAAACAGTGTTGTGTAGGCACAAAAATAAACCACTTAAAGCTACAGAATAGTTTGTCCAGAAAGTGACTCTAATATGGGACCTGAATATAGAATGAGAGCCACAACCTGACTGAGAAAGATTATTCATCGGTCAGAGCGCTGTGGGATTCACTTTGTGAACGTTGCATGAACTGGTTTATGGACATGTGACTGCACGCACAGTAGGACCCCCACAAATGTTCATGAAGAGAATGGGGCTCAGCAGTGAGTTAGTTGGAGGCTGGTAAGTAACCAGTCAGTGCAAACTCTGGAAAGGAGAAAGAAAAAGTGCAGAGAAAGGGACTAGCCTCGGTGAGAGAAGCTCCAAATGGAAGCTGCCACCCGCCCCCCCCCCCCCGGCCGACCAAGCATGCTCCCGAACATCTGTTCACCCTCCACCCCCAGCACACTCTGCGCAGGTGCCTGAGCTTTCCATCGCATTCCTGTCCCAACTGCCTAAGGAACAATTCCATCCTTCTTGTTTGAGCCTCTTTTCTAAAGTCGCCCTCAATCCCTTCCTGTTTTATTTATTGGTTACCTTTATCACCGCCTAAAATGACCCAAGCTGCGTTTTGTTTACTACTATCTCACTAAGCAGGAGCAGGGTCTCAGGGTGCTATCCCTGAAGCCTAGAAGGATGCTTGCTGTTCTGTAGGCTCTCAATACCTATTCATGAATGAATGACGAATAAGTGAAGGTAGAACGTAAAGCCCCAGAACAATGCTTGGCTCACAATGAAGCATTGGCTCTATGTTTGCATATGGGATTTGGGGTTTTGTCTTTTACCACTGTGAAAATCTTTATCCTTGGAAAGTCTTAGTACTCATTGCAACTCAAGTAACATGGTGACAAAGAAAAAAAAAAACATTTTGACAGAACTTAAAAAGACTCACCAGATAAGCATCAAAGGAGACTAGTCAAGGACCCCATAGAAAGAAGACATCATTACTGTTCAATTAATCAAAAGTTCAGATTTTCAGAATAACAGTTTGGATCCTCTGGCATGTGAGGAGACTTCTATTTTGATGAGAGCTGCAGACTGTCAAATATTAATGTTTTAAGATCAAGTGTAGGGGCGATGTTCGTGCCTCCCATAAAACGTGAGGTAAAGTCAATATCAAATCAACCCTCTGATCCAGTTAAATCCAATAATAGGGAAACTGCCATGTAGTTTGGAAACTGATTTGCTTAATGGTTTTATAATCCAATGCAGAGTGTTGTTCAGATAGGAGGCTTGGAAATGTCACGAAAGACGGGAGGCACTCTCAGTGCCATTTGGGGGACTACGTAATCTCGACCCTCCATAGCACAGATTCTGGCTAACCGAAATCAAATGTCCTATATTCCATTGAAAGGAATCTTCTTTGAGGCTTAACGTCCCTGAGAACCTCAGGTACAAACCGGCTGTTGGTACCATGACAGAATTCAGGAACACGGTATCCATAAGGGCCAGACTGGGGGCCCTGGTACAAACAACAGGGCATTCCACTGCTGGTTTCCATCCCAGCTCTGCATAACCTCGGTGTGTGAACTTGAAAACCCAACCAATTCCTAGTCTTCAGATTTGCCACCTGATGCCCCTCCCCTATGCCTTTGATTTGTTTCCCCTTTCACTGGTCTTCATCGCCAATGAACTCCTTCCCTCCTGCAGGTGGGGAGCCTTCCTGGGACTGAGGAAGGAGAGGCCAAAAGACTTTCTCTGAGCCTGAGTTCTTTCCTCTGTACACCCTGCTTCCCCCAGGGTGTAAGCCTCGAGGGATGAGATGAACAGAAACGTGCTTGCCGAGAGATGATGCTCCAGGGACGATTTCTGTAGTCAAAGGAGCAGGACAGAATCTCAGGTTCATTGGCACAAGTTAACAGGGGCCCTGCCCCCCCTACCCTGTTCCCCAAAACACATAAATGACTGTCTTGGACCATGTTTAAATTTGCTTTTATTATTTGTTGCACAAGAAGTGCCTCGTAGTTATTATGAAATACAAAGCAGCAAAAAGGCAGCAACAATAATTTGTCATCTGCTTACCCAGAAGTACCTTCTGTTAATAGTCTGGTGGTGACAATTGCCAAAACTGCAGCATGCCTGACCTGAGGAGAAGACCAACGCTGAGCCTCCAGTATGGCACCTTCCCCAGTGGTTCAGCCAGCCACCTAGTGGCAGGCTGATTACATTGGGCCTTGCAGTCATGGTTGGGCTTGGGGGGATGTGTCTCAGGTAGAACAGACACATCTCCTGGATACAAAATTGCCTCCCCTGCCCATCATGCTTCTGCAACGTCACCATCCCTGGACTCAAGAATGCCTCACTATCACAGGATTCCAGAAAACTGCTTCTGACCAAATAACATATCCTCCAAATGCTTGCTGTGCTCCTGGTTATAAATCTACCTCTGGGAGGAGCCAGTGAGACAGGTCTTTGCATCCAAGGAGACAGACAGACACCCCTTGCCTTTTGGGAGGAGACCAGGCAAACCCCAGTTTGGGTCTTGTAACCATTCAAGCCCAAAGCACATATATTTGGAAAGGAAGGATCCCCTCTATGTATTCTTTATTCTTGAAAACTTAACTACAGCAAATCCTCAGAGGTGCTGCCCTGTCTCCTCCCTCCATGCTTTTGCTTTGCTTTCCTTTTCCTGGACTTCATATCACTCAACGGTAGGCCACATGGACCTTGATCCCTTGCAGGTGAGAAACCCTCCCAGAAATGAATAAGGAGAGACAGGCAAAAGGACACCCTTGCACACATCACCCAAAGGATGAGGTCAGCCTAAGCTATGGAATTTAGACCCTGATTCAAATTCTAGTCCTGGCTCTGTGACTTTGAGCTTAGTGACCTTGGGCAAGTTGCTGGATTCCTACCTAGACTGTTTCCTTATCGATAAAGTGGGCTAATGTTTCCCAACCTCCTTACCTCTGACTTGG